AGATCGAAATTCAGCTTTTTCCTCCCGGTCAGTGCTAATCCCAGCTCCTGCAAATGATAAGGCAGCAGCACTATCCCACCCTCCTCCTCCAGGCTGTACATTTCAGTAACAACCAAACAAAAAAAAAAAATTCCTTTCGTTTGAATGAACGCTGGGGCCATTCAGCCCCTCCAGCCTGAATCCACCCCAATGTTCATCCCCATCTTTGCCCCCATTCAGCCCTCGGTAAATCCGCCGTTGTAAAAAGAAAACTTCAGTCTCGCTGCTGCATTCGGAGAGATTTCAGATTTCCACACAGTCTCTGCAGGCAAGGTTTTAAAACGTTTGATTGATTTTTCGGGGGTGTTGGGTTGGTTGGATGGAAGGAGGTGGGTGAAGGAGACAGGGGCCAGCAGGAGTATAAAAGCAGGCAAGTTGTGTTGACCCTTTAGACGTCCCTGGTTAGGCCTCAGCTGGTCTATGGAGGTTTGTGGGCACTGCACTTTACAAAGAATGGCAGGCCTGAGGTCTGGTGTCAGTGTGAGCGATCAGCGCCTTATTTAGCTGCTCAAACAGTCCCAGTGTGCTTCAACAGTGGCCTTGCCTTTTTGTGGGTGGATGTGTATTAGTGAACTGGGCTGCTGGATAGTACACTTGTGTGTTTCACTCCCAAATTTGCAAGCAACAAAAAAAATTCTACAACCTGGCAAACAGCAAGGACAATAGCGACAGACTTCAGGAGAAACAGGGTATCGGCTAGCCACAGTGCAGAAAGAGGCCATTCTGCCCATTGTGCGTTTGCTGGCTCTTTGTCAGAGCAACTCTGCCAGTCCATGCTCCCCAGCCCCCAGCAGCCCCCCCCCCCCATTAGCCCTGCCACACCATCTCTCCGCACAACTACCTGGTTCTTTACTGAAGACAGAGACTAAATTGACCATTGAATTCCAGACACACGCCATGTGAACAAAGTTTGCAGCTTTTGTCCAAAAAACAAGCCAAAGATCTCCAGATGCCTGTTATCAGAACCAAAAACTGAAATTGCTGAAAAAAGTCAAGAGGTCTGTGTTTGTGGAGAGAGAAACAGAGTTAATATTTCAAAGAAAGGTCACTACACCCAAAAACGTTAACTCTGCTCTTTCCACAGATGCTGCCATACTTAGAGTTTTTCCAGCAATATCTGTTTTTGTTGATTGCATCTTCATCATTTACCTTAAAACTGGCACCCTCAGTTTCTCTGCATCCCCAGGGTCCAGGCCACCTACGATTTTGAGGAGCTCAGATACCACCTTCTCCTCAGCAATCTTACCCATGGACCTGAAGTCTCTCAGTTGGGTGACATGGGCAAGTTGGGCTGAAGGTCCTGTTTTCATGTTGTACACCTCTACGACTCTATTCCTGAAACCATGCTTGTATACAGGGAGGGGGAATGATGGCATCGTAGAAGTGTCACAGACTGAGGCTAATGCTCTGGGCACATGGGTTCAAATCTCCACCACGACAGTTGGTGGAATTGAAGTTAAATTAAAATAATCTGAATCCGAAATCCAATCACAGTAATGATGACGAAATACTGCTGTAAAAAACCCATCTGGTTCACTAACGCCCCTTTAGAGAGGGAAATCTGCCATCCTTAGCCAGTCTAGCCCACGTGACTGCAAACCCACAGTAATGTTCTGAAGAAGGGTCAGACAGGAATGGAAACATTAATAGTTTCTCTCTCCACAGATGCCTGTGGGGTTGCTCGAGCACTGTTTGTTTCTCACAGTGATGTGGCTGATTCTTAACTGCCTTCTTAACAGGCAAGCCACTCCGTTCCAGGGTGATTTAGGGAGAGGCAACAAATGCTGTGCTCACATCTCAAGAAAAACAAACAGTTTCTGCATGTGGCAGATGGGATTTACTACAGAGAGGTGAGAAGTGGAAGGAAGCCCAAGAGACAATGTTAATTTTGTTTTATTCATTAACGGGATGAGGGCGTCGCTGGCCAGGCAGCATTTATTGCCCATCCCTAATTGCCTAGAGGGCAGTTAAGAGTCAACTACATTACTGAGAGTCTAGAGTCACATGTAGACCAGCCAGGGAAGGATGGCAGTTTCCTTCCCTAAAGGACATTAGTGAACCAGATGGGGTTTTTCTAACAATCAACAATGGGTTCATGGTCTTCATTAGATTCTTAATTCCAGATTTTTTAAAATTGAATTCAAATTCTACCATTTGCTGTGGCAGGATTCAAACCCATGTCCCCAGAACATTATCTGGGGTCTCTGGATTAACAGTCCAGTGATAATACCACTAGGCCATTGCCTCCCCCAGATACAGCAATATTAAAGAAGGGGCAGGCACAGCCATGCTGCAGGACGTATGTTTGGAAATAGAGCTGCTCAAAACTATCCATGGGATTCCCAGGCTTTGTACACAGGCATAGGAACACCAAAGCTAGTAATCCTTTGGGAAGAGGGAATTATCTTCGAGGAGGATTGAACCAACTGGGCTTGTATCCATTGAGGTCTGGAAAAACGAGAGGCAATCTTACTGAAACATAACATTCTGACGGGTGGATACGGAAAGAATGGAAATATAGAAAATAGCAGGAGTAGGCCATTCGGCCCTTTGAGCCTGTTCCCCCATTCAACATGATCGTGGCTGATCATCCAACTCAGTCCCCTGTTCCGGCTTTCTCCCATATCCTTTGATCCCTTTACCCCAGGAACTATATTTAAATTCTTCTTGAAAATATTAAAAGTTTGGCCTCAACTGCTGTCTATGGCAGAGAATTCCACAGGATCCTCACTTTTTGGGTGAGGACATTTCTCCTCATCTCAGTCCGAAATGGTCTACCCCATATCCTTAGATTGTGACCCCCTGGTGCTGAGTGGATTGTTGGCTGATAGAGTTAGAGTGAAGGATAAGGCTGGCAGGGGTAGGGAACAATGGATGAATAAAGATATTGAGGCTCTGGTCAAGAATAAGGAGGCATATTGTCAGGTATAGGCAACTGGGACTAAGT